GGACTAGTACAGGCACACAGACGGACGGACAGCCGCACGCACACACGCGCGCACGCACACGTACTTACGTAGACGTGTCTGTGTGAATTTTGAATGCGATGCTCAATCAGATTTCACCTCACCTCACCTCGCCTCGCCTCAGCTCAACCCACCCCACCCCACTCATCTCACCTCACCTCACCCCACCATCACCTCACCCCATCCTACCTCACCCCACCTCACGTCACCTAATCCCACCTCACCTCATCCTACCTCACCCCACCTCACGTCACCCAACCCCACCTCACCCCATCCCACATCACCCCACCCCATCACCTCACCATCCACCCCACCCCACCCCACGTCACCCAATCCCACCTCACCTCACCCCATCCTACCTCACCCCACCTCACGTCACCCAATCCAACCTCACCTCATCCTACCTCACCCCACCTCACGTCACCCAACCCCACCTCACCCCATCCCATCCCACGCTACCCCACCCCACATCACCTCACCCCATCCTACCTCACCCCACCTCACGTCACCCAATCCCACCTCACCCCACCCCATCCCATCCCACGCTACCCCATCCCACATCACCTCACCCCACATCATCTCACCCCTTCCCACCTCACCTTACCCAATCCCATCCTATCCCATTATTTAAAGACCACCGCCCTATGGTTTAAATATTGCTCAGTTCAGCGTGAAACAAGAAACCAACACACGATCATGTGTCACAATGATCCGGCAAACTATGTACTTCCTCCTGTGCAAGGATCCTGATGGCTTCACTTGTAACATTCAGACACTTCTATGATTGTACCGTGTCCTATCGCCACTCCGACCAGGAACATGAAAATACAGTTTGTCACGTGACGTAGTTGTAGTTCGTGTTGCAGTCCGAAGGTTTCAGGACAGTTAAAACCTTTCTCCGTACGGGTAAGTTACTGGTTTGGTCAAGCTGTTCCCCGTGTGGTTGAATTGGTCCATGAGGTAAGACTGATTGTCCTACATTATGAAGTAATGCCATTGTCACAATATGTGCTCTCACTAGGATATCCTATCCGTGTACGTTATCTGAAATCTGTATAGGGCCGACTATTTGGTGTTGGATGCAGCGAGTGACCAGGGTGCTTTTGGGGAAATAAATCAGGGGCGGATACAGCTTTTTGAGAAAGGGAGAGTGCACACTATTGAGAAAAGGAGGGGTGCACACTTCATTTTCACCCGAGTTTCAATGGTCATTTAACATAAATGTCGGGCAACCCCCCGAGATTCCATGCAGGGATGTAACAAAACACTGTGTGGAGTTAAGAAATCAAGGGGAGGTCACTCTAAAACCCGGCTGTGAGTTATCTCCCTGGCGTCTTCGACTCGAGCGAATTTGTATCACGTAAGATTGGCATAATTACTAATTAGGCTTTCCGTTTTAGGGGATTTATTTTTCAAGGAAGCAGAGATTGTAGTATCACTTGTCTCCAGTACCATGTACACTGTCAGAATTTCTATGTTTTATCCCTTGGAACGGCGAATGTATCTTGAAGATACTCCATTTGAAAGCACTCCATCTTTCACATGGTGGAATGTTTAGATTCACTTGATTCAACACTGATCTCAAATCACGAACCGTAAACGCGTGTCATCAAAATGTATTCGTGCAATTAGCACACTGAAATCTCACTTTGTACATTTTATGTTACAAAATTTAAATGTCACTGTGGTTTATCGAGACAATTACATATATTTGTGTTTATGCCAACACACACTCTACGTGTGCACGTGACCATGTCGTGTGTCTATAAACGAGGAAGCAAACGCCGTTCATGAGCCGGAAATATTTTCATTCCGATTTATTACTGCGTCTTTGTCACATGAACAGGAAGAGACAAACTGCAGCACTCAGCTCGTGAGTAAAGGAAGGATGTGACTGGTTCTGCTTCAGGATTTTAGATATAAATTTGCTTTTGCCACTACACTCAAGATTATTCTACTTGAGGCGTTTGTGGTCAGTCCCCTGCCGGGCTGTCTTATATAATGTATAGTACAAGGGGAATAACTCCTACTGCAGTCTCCGTGTGTGGGTTTGTCTTTGACTGAGTAATTAGTCCCGAAATAATCAAGGAACAAATTATCAAAGGTAACACTAGTTCAAGGACCTTTCCTCCTTTCGTCTTTTCTGGGGGCCGCACACCCATGAAGATCCGGGTTAAAATTGGTCTTCAGTAATCCATGCTTGTAAGAAGCGACTAACGGGATCGGTTGGTCAGGTTCGCTGACTTGGTTGACACATGTCATCGTAAGTGAGTAAGTGAGTTTAGTTTTACGCCGCACTAACCAATATTCCAGCAATATGGCGGCGTTCTGTAAATAATCGAGTCTGGACCAGACAATCCAGTGATCAACAGCATGAGCATCGATCCAAGCAACTGGGAACCGATGACATGTGTCAACCAAGTCAGCGAGCCTGACCACCCGAGCCTGTTAGTCGCCTCTTACGACAAGTACTGAAGATCAATTCTAACCCGGATCTTCACGGGTCCGCATGTCATCGCATCCCAATTGCATTGATCGATGCTCATGATTTTGATCACTGGATTGTCTGGGCCAGACTCGATTATTTACAGACCGCCGCCATATCGCCTAAATACTGCTGAGAACGGCGTTAAACAACCAACCAATCAAGCCTAGGTTAACGCGTTCGCTCGTCACGCCAAAGACAATTTCCAGCATGGGTACAATGAGTGATGCCCATTATGTCCCTCGCCGTTAGTTGTGGAACAGCGGCGTAAAACCATACACACTCTTCGTTTCCGATTTAACCTGTCCTCTGTAAAATTCAGCATTCAAGTCGTAAGAAGTGTAAGATTACATCATAGAGACAAAAGGCAAGATTTGTCTTATAAAAATGTTGATCGAAAACCCTTACTTGTTTTCAGTTTTGTTTTTCATTTTAAAACAAGACGAAATTTAGAAAACAAAATAGCCATGATGAATAAACATGTTATAGCAGGGATATGTTATTCTGTAAACATAATGTTAAACAGGATGATGATGATGATTATGATGATTATGATGATGATGATTATGATATTATATGTAATGCGTGAGATGCAACCATGGATAGTCATGGGGGTACAGCAGGTCACTGATTCGATCTTCCGCCGCATTAGGACATAATAAGATTGTGCCTCTTATTGCCCTGCCAAGAGCCAAGCCTCAGGGAAATAAAACGAAGCCTTTGGGTACACTGTGAGATGTGTTTTATCCCTTAGAACGCTGAACATATCTTGAAGAAACTCCATTTGAAAATAGTAAGATTGTACTTGTTATTGCATGCCTAAAGCTAGGCCTTAGGGAAATGAAACAACGATCGGTCAGCCTGGTGCCTGGTGTACTGTGTCTAAGCGGGTTATCATAGTAAAGCCGTGGGATATTTACTCTTTCGGGTAGCCTAGTGGTCATAGGGTTCGCTCGTCACGCCGAAGAAACAGGTTCGATTCCCCACACGGTTACAATGTGTGAAACTAATTTCTGATGTCCCCCGCTGCGATATTTCTGGAATGATGCTAAAAGCTGCGTAAAACTTAACTCACTCACTCACTCACTTTGGGCTATCATTAACCAGCTAACCAGCATATGAAGAGTACTACAAACACATGCGCACACGCACATGCACATAGCCGCGTTCGTACTTGTCGCTATTTAAGTGCCATTTGTTTGAACGCAACGTGAAACCCCTTTCCATCTCCGGCAATATACTTCTTGTACGTTACTGAATATTTAATAAAATAAAAGATAAGTTCAGTTTCAGAAAGATTCACTTTACAGATCAATGTTTTCTACCATTAGTATAACTTATCAACTTTACATTGAATATTAAATGTAATACAATCGTTCTACTGTACTGGGTCTTCAAACGTAGTATTTACGTAATGTCGTAACCTTTAAAAGTAGCATTTATAGAAAGGATGAAGAGGAACTTCTTTATCGCAATAGATGCGACGTTTCGGTGTAGATGCTAACACGGTTATCAAGCAAAACTTGGGACAGCGTTCAGATTCACCGCAGTGCCATTTAAATGTAATATTATTATTTGTTGTTATAAATAATAGTGAGTGAGTTTAGTTTTACGCCGCACAGCCATGTTCCAGCTATATGGCGGCGGTCTGTAAATAATCGAGTCTGGGCCTGACAATCCAGTGATCAACAGCATCGATCTGCGCAATCGGGAACCGAGGACATGTGTCAACCAAGTCAGCGAGCCTGACCACCCGATCCCGTTAGTTGCCTCTTACCACAAGCATGGGTTACTGAAGATCAATATTCTAACCCGGACCTTCACGGGTTTGTTATAAATATAAGTAATCATGATTGTTCTTCTAGACGGTTTCATATAGGGTAGGGGCGGTGGGGTAGCCTAGTGGTTAAGGCGTTCACTCGTCACGCCGAAGACCAGGGTTCGATTGCCTACATGGGTACAGTGTGTGAATTGTGTGGTGTCCCCCGCCGTAACATTTGAACCAGTCAGCTGGAAGACATTTATCATTTAACGCTTGAATCCACCCGATCCGCGGTCGATTGTATTTCTGATTCCACGTTCTCCATCTTTAGGTCGAAGGGGCGAAAACATGCACCTGTTCTGTGTCCGTTTAGGTCCTAATGTACGAGACCATCACCAAAACATTACCTAATATTACCCAATGTCGACAAACAGTGATAAAGATAATATTAATAAGGTGTGTTGTTAAAGGTATCTTTCACATCTTTGAAATTAGAAGCACGTGTTATAAATCCATTTCAGCAGAAAGAAAAAGAAAAAATTACTGAAAACTCCCTGCCCTACGCCCGAACTGTTTACATGTGTTGACTGTCGCCTTTGTCAAGTGCGCTTCGTTGTCATGTTAAACACAATGGCATTCATTAAAACACGATTCAATATTAGTCACATTGTGTAACAATTCGCCTAATTACAGGTATATTGTGATAACGTCTTAATCCAGGTGTTTACCTTGCAGCTACACCCCCGGGAGAACCAGTCCCGGTCAGTCATACCTGGTCCCCTCCCGAACGGCTGAGACGATCCTTCACCTGAATACCAACACGGTCATGTGACAGCTATTAATAGTCCCCCACCCGCAATGCATTGTTTGCGTCGAGCGAATGAAAATCGTTAAGAGTTTCACAGGCGTCTTGGGCCGGGTGGAGAGCTGTTGGAATGCTCCGTGGCTGGTCGATGAAAACTGTAGGATACTGTGCCTGGGTGTCTGTCTCCTTAGCATCTGGATCTTTACCTGAAACTATTCATCACCTGTGTGCGGTGTACTAATGAATTGGGGAGAAGACGTTCCGCCGCGACCAATGACAACCGCAGGGATTAAGCCTCGCATGTGCAACTGAACACCCGCCGCGTTCGTTTGATTGGATTTACCTGTGCGTTATCGTGGAGTTGTGGTTCAGTCGGAGACCAGGTAGGTTGGTCCTGTACAGAACGCTATGCGGTTCTATCTGAAAAAGATTATTCAGTGGTCGCTAGGGGTATGTGTTGCCATTGTGCTGGTACTGAATCTGTACAAGAGAGACGTGTGGGTATATGACACGGACGACCAGCCTCTACCCTGGGGACCGGATTTCAAGAGGGACGGGAACCATAGACAGCTGACCTTTGACGGGCCGAAAATTCATGATCATTTTTTCAGCGAAAAATTGAAAAGGAATATCACAAAATCATTGCACGTGCAGCATGTACAGCAGCCAACACCAATGCCCGTGTATTACAACATCAACAACGACGACCAAGACCGTATCACCAACCAGTTAAAATTTATACCAAAGCCTGTTCGAGATGCGAAAAAACGAGGAGAAGACGTTCCCCTAAAAACAATCCTTTTGTATCACGGATTTGGGGGCTGGCAGGTTAAGAGGGCCAGGGAACGTTCACTGAGCAGAAATGTGCTGTTCAGAGCTGTGAACTTGTTGACAACAAGCAGGATGGCCACAAAGCTGATGCAGTACTTTTTCATCATAATCCAGCTCGGCCCTGGTTTGACCGCCCACAGAAACAAATCTGGATCCTCTTTCTGCTCGAGTCGCCCTACCACACGGCGGGGTTAGCAGCGTTCCGCGACGTCTTTAACTGGACAGCGACGTATCGACACGACTCCACAATAGTAGCTCCGTATGAAAAATTTGTGCCATACAACTCGAGTGTTTTATCTCAAAAACAAGACAAAAATTATGCTGCGGGGAAAAGTAAAATGGTTGCTTGGTTTGTTTCAAACTGTGGCGCCAGGAACGGCCGTCGAAATTACGCCGACGAGCTTGCAAAACACGTTCAGGTGGATATATACGGTGCGTGTGGCAAGTTTAAGTGTCCTCGGTACCAAAGCAGTAAGTGCTTTGACATGCTCAACAAAGACTACAAGTTCTATCTCGCCTTTGAAAATTCCAATTGCAGAGACTATATTACGGAGAAATTCTTCGTGAACGGACTGCAGTAAGTGCCCTTTTCTTTTTATGATTGATTAGTATTCATGTTATACAATATGCACAATATATACAATATATACCATATATACAGTATGTACAATATATACAATATGTACAGTATATACAATATATACATTATGTACCATATGTACAATTTATACAATATGTACAATATATACAATATGTACAATATATACAATATGTACAATATATACAATGCCATACTATTATTTCTCCACTGACCTCTCCACTGTATCTTGCTTGCATGACATATTTTAGATACAATGAAATACAGTGGTATCTTACTTGCATGACAACAGATTTTAGATGCAGTGAAATACAACTGTATCTTACTTGCATGACATATTTTAGTTACAGTGAAATACAGTGGTATCTTACTTGCATGACAACAGATTTTAGATACAGTGAAATACAACTGCATCTTACTTGCATGACAACAGATTTTAGTTGCAGTGAAATACAACTGTATCTTACTTTCATGACAACAGATTTTAGATACAGTGAAATACAACTGTATCCTGCTTGCATGACAACACATTTTAGTTACAATGAAATACAGTGGTATCTTACTTGCATGACATCAGATTTTAGGTACAGTGAAATACTGTGGTATCTTGCATGACAACAGCTTTTAGTTTCAATGAAATACAGTGGTATCTTACTTTCATGACATCAGATTTTAGGTACAGTGAAATACAGTGGTATCTTGCTTGCATGACAACAGATTTTAGCTACAGTGAAATACAACTGTATCTTGCTTGCATGACAACAAATTTTAGTTACAGTGAAATACAACTGTATCTTGTTTGCATGACAACATATTTTAGATACAGTGAAATACAGTGGTATCTCACTTGCATGACAACACATTTTAGCTACAGTAGAATACAACTGTATCTTGCTTTCATGACAACAGATGTTAGTTACAATGAAATACAGTGGTATCTTACTTTCATGACAACAGATTTTAGGTACAGTGAAATACAGTGGTATCTTGCTTGCATGACAACAGATTTTAGCTACAGTGAATAAAGTGGTATCTCACTTGCATGACAACACATTTTAGCTACAGTAGAATACAACTGTATCTTACTTGCATGACAACATAGTTTAGATACAGTGAAATACAGTGGTATCTCACTTGCATGACAACACATTTTAGCTACAGTAGAATACATTTTAGACTACAGTAGAAATACAACTGTATCTTACTTGCATGACAACACATTTTAGATTACAGTAGAATTGTATCTTACTTGCATGACAACATAGTTTAGGTACAGTGAAATACAGTGGTATCTCACTTGCATGACAACACATTTTAGCTACAGTAGAATACAACTGTATCTTGCTTGCGTGACAACAGATTTTAGCTACAGTGAAATACAACTGTATCTTGCTTGCATGACAACAGATTTAGCTACAGTGAAATACAGTGGTATGTTACTTGCATGACAACAGAGTTTAGTTACTGTGGCATAATACTTGCATGACAACATGATTTAGTTACAGTGAAATACAGCGGTCTCGTACTTGTATGACAACAGATTTTAGTTACAATGAAATACAACTGTATCTTACTTGCATGACAACACATTTTAGCTACAGTAGAATACAACTGTATCTTGCTTGCGTGACAACAGATTTTAGCTACAGTGAAATACAACTGTATCTTACTTTAATGACAACAGATGTTAGTTACAATGAAATACAGTGGTATCTTACTTGCATGACATCAGATTTTAGGTACAGTGAAATACAGTGGTATCTTGCATGACAACAGATTTTAGTTTCAATGAAATACAGTGGTATCTTACTTGCATGACAACAGATTATAGCTACAGTGAAAAACAACTGTATCTTACTTTAATGACAACAGATGTTAGTTACAATGAAATACAGTGGTATCTTACTTGCATGACATCAGATTTTAGGTACAGTGAAATACAGTGGTATCTTGCATGACAACAGATTTTAGTTTCAATGAAATACAGTGGTATCTTACTTGCATGACAACAGATTATAGCTACAGTGAAAAACAACTGTATCTTGCTTGCATGACAACACATTTTAGCTACAGTGAAATACAACTGTATCTTGCTTGCATGACAACAGATTTTAGCTACAGTGAATAAAGTGGTATGTTGCTTGCATGACAACAGATTTTAGTTACAGTGAAATACAGTGGTATGTTACTTGCATGACAACAGAGTTTAGTTACTGTGGCATAATACTTGCATGACAACATGATTTAGTTACACTGGAATACGGTTGTATGTTACTTGCATGACAACAAATTTTAGTTACAGTGAAATACAACGGTATCTTACTTGCATGACAACATATTTTAGTTACAGTGAAATACTGTGGTACCTTACTTGCATGACAACTGATTTTACTCACTCACTCTAAGTCTTGTCGTGAGAGTTGAGTTGAGTTGGGCTTTACGTCACATCGGCATTATTCCAACCATATAGTGACGAGAACAAGTTTGCATTAATAAACATTGTAAGTACAGAGTCAAAATGAGTTTCGTTTAAAAACATATATCGTGGGAGGCCACTAAAGGGGTTTCGTGATCAGACTCGCTGACTTGTTTGACACGTCCTATCACATTCCAGTTGGTTAGATTGATGCTCGTGTTGTTGATCACTGGATTGTCTGGTTAAGACTCGATTATTTACAGACCGCTGGAATATTGCGGTGGTAAACATTTTACTGTATGTCGTTTTATATGTATATTCAATAAAACAAGTTAAAGACCACCCCGATACTCAATATTTAAGTATTATGTGGATCAGGATATGAACTATGAAATATTTTAATATTGAAAATTGGGGTGGTCTTTAACTTTTTAACACGAGTACAATGTGAACACGCCATCTGGTGTATCAACACTATGTCACACACGTGTGTATCCTGTCGATATATTGATAGAATGTTTGATAACGTGGCGAATATCCATATCATATATAGTCCGTCAACTGAACTTTTGGCACCCTGTTTTTCACAATTTACCTTTTAACCAAAATGCCTTCAAAATGTTTTTAGGCATACGCTCTTTATATCTTATGACCTATCTCAGGTTTAAATTTCATTCTTTTATGTCAGTTATTAAAGCTTCTCCTTAAGAAGCCATCTTATAAAAATATGAAAAAAAGAAGTAGTTATACAAGGAAGTAAAATGATACGATGGAACAGCAAACAACATGGTGTGACACGCGTGCATCTTGTTTACATTGTTACGCCTGCAAGCAAATCTAAGGGGACTGTATAATCATCACAAATCCATTTTAAACAAGCAGATTTATTGAAGTCTTTCAATACTGGTTGCTCAATCTCTTGTATCAAGATCCAAATTTGAGCAACAGCTTGCATATGGTATGCTTTGATGCATTGATGTCATGGTCTTCTTTTGAACAATATTTCTTCAGTTTGCTTGACGATATGAACTCACTGGATTGATGTAACCGACGCATGACGTCCCTAACAACCCTTCCATCGAATTCATCAAGCTTTCTTTTCTTTGCATGTTTTGAGACGGTCCCCGATTTCAGTCATTTCATCGTCAGTCTCTGAAAGAGTGTCATGGGAGATAACTCTTTGCTATGTTCTTTTGCAGATCTTGGTGGCATTAATGTCTTTAAGAGAAACACTCAGAGGGTGTTTTTCGCTTTGCCTTGCGCTTGAAAAAGTTGTAAACTCTTTTGATGATTTACCGGTCATCTTTGTACAACATCGTTTTTACCACAACCTGCGTGTTGACGATCTTTGACATCACTTGAGCGTGCTAATGTAAATAAATACCCGTGCATGTACATATCACGCTGACACACATTTTACAGTGTTGTTGGCTTTTCCATCATGTGCGTTAACCCCTCGTAAAACTCTCCACAGTTTTACAATTATTATATGACAGGTTTAAAGGCAAATAATCCTTTTAAAATTACTAAAATCGATATCTTGTTAGGCCACGGTATACAGTTACCATATGAACAGAGTAGCAGTTTAAAATATTCAGGAGTTTTATGTAAATTGTGAAAAACAGGATACCAAAAGTTAAGTTGACGGACTATAATTCATTACATGAAACCAAATGCAAATAGTTTTTGCTCAGGTCACAATGGGGCGGTGGGGTAGCCTAGTGATTAAAGCGTTCGCTCGTCACGCCGAAGACTCGGGTTCGAATTCCCACATGGGTACAATGTGTGAAGCCCATTTCTGGTGTTCCCCGCCGTGATGTTGCTGGAATATTGCTAAAAGCGGCGTAAAACCGAGCGTTACGAAGTTTTCCGAATGCATGTCAAAATACCGGTTTTCGATCAGCGTATCACAATACGTATCGTTTTCATGTCTGAACCGGTAAATACCGGTAAACCGGTTATATTGCGCAGCCCTAGGTGTTAGTATATATACCGAAAAGTCGCATTCATTACAATAAAGAAGTTGACAATCCATGGAACTTGGTTTTTCTTCATCTTTACAACTTCTAAAATGCATCTCAAAGAAGATAAATTTCAAACAAAACTAAACTTGAAATGGCAATCAGTTGGACACATGTTTTCCACCAATCTACCAGTGATTCAGACTTTAACGGTTAAACACAATGGAATAAATTGTACGTGAAACTAATTTGAAATATGAATAATGTATTCCAGTATCGTGTTATTTTAGTTTACTGATTACTGATATCTGTAATGACGTAATTATACATACAATAATGGTAATAATTATGAGCGTACTACTTTTGTAACACTGATTTCTCTATGTTGACGTTGAGAACAGCTCGATCAGTCATCACAGATTTCCACCCGCCCTGTAGGGGCGGTGGGGTAGCCTTACGGTTATAGCGTTCGTTCGTCACGCCGAGGACCCGGGTTCGATTCCCCACATGGTTGCGATGTGTGAAGCCCATTTCTGGTATCCCCCGCCGTCATATTGCTGGAATATTGCTAAAAGCGGCGTAAAACTAAACTCACTCATTCA